CACACACACGTCTGAAAGGAATGGAGCCTGCAACTAGAACACACCTGGTTTTCCACAATTAGGCCCTGCTGACAAAGACCCTTTATTAACTTTTTAATAACCTTTAGACTGAAAATGAGAAGCTTTACATCAAAAGTTTGTTTGAAAAGAGTTGTTTAAATTCCTCTGAATATCAATGTAAAAAGGTCCAAAATATGCAGATTACTTGATGCACAACCAAAAGGTTCCCAAATTCATGGTGCAGAAAAAAACACTTGTGGGTGAGTAGAAATCTGCCAAATTGCTGTTACTAAGCAGCATGAAAAACTGCACCTCAACTGGATTGTGCATGGCAAAAAGCACAACTCCCTCCATAGAGAAAAAAAAATTCAGAGACTGCATGGGCAGACAGTCCAGAGGGGTCACAAATGCAATGGCACAGCTAATCATGAGCCCTTTCCACTCCCAAAATGAGTAACTGAAGGTGTCCTTTTATGAGCAGTCAGGAAAATAAGCAATTAATCAATAGCAACAGTTGGGCAACAGAAAAAATACAGAGAAACTAAATGGGTTCTGGACTCCTAACTATATACGTATCTTTTTTCATTTATATAAAAGCAAGAAGGGCTCCTGTGCAATTTGAACAGTACTCAACTTGCTTGTGTGCTACAACTCAGGTTTTAATTTTCAACATTGACAGCATTAAAAAGATTTCTTCCTCGTGTTTCATTTTTAGATGCATTTTCATTCTTCCAAACTTGAAACAAAGTTTGTACAAAAGTGGTAAGCAAACCAAAGATCACCATCAAGGGATTCATTTATAAAGAAAAAATAAGGGGCTACATACAGGAAAGTGGCTACAAAACTACTCTTTACTGGCTATGCAAGTCCAATTTTTCTGGGTAATTTTGAGAATATCAAATCAGTTAATAAAAAGTTCTTGGGAGTTTTACAGAAGAGGCCCAAAAGGTCAAAGAGTGGCCAAAACAAAATTAGTTGTTTACAATAGGAACCCTTCAGAATTACTGACAGTGCCATTTTCTTGCCTTTATTTGGCTGAGTGGGATGGGTCTTTCAGCCCAAACTAATAAAAACTGGCAATATATTTCTTCTTTCATGCTGCATAACTTAAAAGTAGGGAAAAGATGGGTTAGAAAATGATTTACTAATTTAGGCCCCCAATTCAGCAAAACACTTAAGAATGGACCTAACTTTAGTCCTGTTGAAACCAATATAACTATTCAGGTTTACTCATAAGCTTTAAGTTGGGCAAGTGCTTAAGCAGCTTGTTGAATCAAGCCATTACTCAAGAAATGCTTTGTGTGTGTATATCGGTCCATTTTAATGGTTGACCCAGCTTACCAAATGAGCCCACTTTATTATTTCAAAAGGCAAACAGCTATTTCCTAGTCAGCTGTTCTGAAGGTGTGACTGGTATACTGCCTAAGCTTTATTGTAGCTACAAGAACATAAATTTACTAAGAAAATTTGTATGCAACATCTATTATATATAGTGGCTTAGCTCTCCCTTAAATAGTAACAGAAAAGAACAGTACAAAACAATAGTTTCACTTTCTCAACACACAAGAGCATCTTATTGAAAAACTAAAATAAAAAGTATCACCACAATATAAATCCCCAAATAATATTGGAACTTGAAGGGAAGAAGAAAGGAGTTATTAGCAAAATGTCCAGTGGACTTTAAAAAGTCTCTTAACTCAATAAAAGGCTTTCCTGTTGAGCCACAACATTTGTTTTACCTCTGCATATGGACCCACCAGACAAGGGACAACAGGGTCCACAAACTACGTGGGGATTAAAAGTAAAAAATAAAATAAAATAAAAATAAATGCAAGCTGCCCCATTTGCTATCCAAGAGAATAAACCCAAAAGGGCGGTCACTGAGCACAAAAACAGAGGAGAGCACAGCTTCTCTGCAGGTGGCAGGAACTGAAAAAGAGGAGAGGGTGGCAGAGGTTATGAAAGAAGTATTCAAGTTGGAA